CGCACCACCCGCCTCCGCCGCCGCAGTTCGCGGCGTACTACCGGACGCCGGCGGGGTACCTGCACGTGGGAGGGCAGCACCGCGCGGCGGGGACGCTGGCGCTGCCGTCGACCTCCGGTGGCGGCGGGACGCAGAGCACTCGGGAGGACCAGGAGGACGTTTCGAACCCGAGTGCAGGAGGAAGCGGTTCGAAGAAACGGTTCAGAACGAAGTTCACATCTGAACAAAAGGACAAAATGCTGGACTTGGCCGAAAAACTAGGTTGGAGGATTCAGAAACACGACGAGGCTGTGGTCCAAGCCTTCTGCAACGAAACCGGCGTTAAGCGTCACGTTCTCAAGGTTTGGATGCATAACAACAAGCACACTCTCGGTAAGAAGCCCTAGGAATGAAAACCAAACAAGAAACAAATTCACCTGCATCTATTTCTTCTCTCTCTTCCACCTTACTTTCACTAGCTAGCTTACCCAAATCCTTAGGGTTTCTATTTCTTTCTCCTTTTATTATGGGTGGGGCTGTGTTTAATTTCTGCTTCTGTTAGTGTTTGAGGATGTAGATGTAGGTAAGGTTCTGGTTCCACCCCGATTAATTAGCTAGAGCGAATTATTATTGCTGAATGCTGATGGTGATTGTCATGGACTAATTTTATTTTTATTTCAGTGCCAAAATCAGATTTTGAGTACTCTATGTCTTTTTTCTCGTGGTACATCTTCCAGTGCTAGCGTATTTTTTGCAGTTTGTTACAATGGTGACGCGTTTGGAACCTTTTTTTCGCGTCCAAGATATCAGCTGTTATAAGATATGAAGGTGATGACGATTGACGAGACGACGAGGCTTAAAATAAGTGACATCTAGTTAATTTGTTTGTCTATAGTGATATGATGTTCTACATCCTTAGACACTTGTAGGAACTAGGAACCTTCAATGCTTTCTAACTCACCTGCATTTTCCGTTTTTCATGTCTTTCAATTCGTCTCTCTCTTTTGCTTCTTCGGATAATGGCAAACCCTTTTTTGGCTTCTTCCACGCACTGAAGAAAGTGAGGAAAATCATCGTCATTTCGGCATCTCCGTCATGCATTTTCAATTTTTCAGAATCCTATTTTTTTCTCCATTATTTTATTAACTTGGTTTATTTCCTTTCACATAGTGTTAGACGTATTTAGTTTATACAAAGAAAATATATGATTTTAGATATATAAGATGGTATAAATTTAGTTGCCAGGCTACGTGTTTGTAACCCTTGGACTATAGAGGTCATTAATGAATTAATGATGTGGTAGAATGTATATTGAATTTCTTTGCTCATTATTTTCCCAAACGAGCTAGAAATTGGTAGCACTTTATTAAGTTGTTATCAGTTCAATTCATTGTGGAGGAGGTTGAACAGGAACCATATTTGTTTGCAAGTGGTTGGGTCTTTCTTCATCATGACCTGGGTCGACTGAGCGAGGAAAGGGACTGTTGTAATTAATGTTTTTTTATTGCATGCAAGTTATGTGGAATTTGAGAAGTGTCTGCTTATGTTTTCTCTTAAGTTGGGGTAGAAAATATGGAAGACAAATCCAGTTTTATGTTGGAGAAATAATTAAACTTTGATTGATTTTTCTCCATCCCCCATTTATTCCTTCAAATATTATCTCTGTTTTCCACTTGGAAAATAATATTTTCCCTTGTTTTGACGAACTTCTCCTTTCTATTAACAACCAAGCTATAAGCACATAGAAGAATCACAATAGTACACGAGTTACACAACCCTCTCTCTCTCTCTCTCTCTTTTTTTTTTTTTTTTTCCTGCTGCACTCCAACTACTACCATCAATGAGGTTCTGAGAGGCATGGGGAGAGAATCTATTTGGATCCCTAGAATCTCTGTCACGTCCGTTCCCTCCTCCTTCACAATGATGGTTGAACTTGTTGACTCGTTGCAATATTTAAGAAGGTGGAGTAGTACTTAAAAAGATCAAGTAATATTACTAGTGAACGAATTATGAATGTAACTAGCTTCTTGTTGTTGCTAGCTTTATGGGTCAGCTTTAATATGCATGCTAAAGGGGGGACCTGGTTGATTACTTGGGGAAAGATGGAGAACCGTGCTACTTTGTAACCTTCCTAATTGAAACCCTTGGTTCTGATGTTTCAATTATAGTAGCAGGATATGCTTTTATGGCACACCTTGCTTCTTAAGTAGTCCAAACCCTGTCCATTACCATTTACACGTTTAAGATGCTTTGCTTGTTTTGGGGGGTCTTCAGCATCGGTTAAAGCTGAGTGCTTCAACTGTGGTCCACACAATATAATGTAATCCTTTGCTGTAAGTTTTGGTTCATATCACTCAGATACAAACGCCTACATATCCGTATCTCTCCTACAAACATGTCCATCACTTAATGGCTATTGTCTACAACCCCTTCCATCGTTCAATTGTAAGCAAATTATTGATAATTTCTTTGCTTGAGTCATATTAAACTCAGTTTTTTAAATAAAGTTTTAAGTTTAAATTTTATAAATATAAAAATATGATAGAAAAAAGAGATTTTATTAAAAATAATCTGTATATTTTTATAAAAATTAATTATTAACGAAGTGGATAAATTCTGCTTAACACTAACATAATTATAAAAAAGAAGATTACAAGAAAATCAAAACTTGATTTGACACTCTAGATAGATCTCTCTCAAAAACCTGCTGCAACAGTGTCATATCAGCGCATTCTTGCTGGAACTCTCGGTTGAAGTACCATTAATTCATCTAGTATTTCTTTGTCGTTGCCATCTCTATCACCACATTTCTTGCGATATGTTGAAGCAGCTTTGGTGCAATTATGAATTTTTATGTGAAAACATAGTGATCATGTTCGTTAATAATGGCGAGTAATGTATGTGGCTGGTTATGAAAGATTAATTTTTGTTGCTTCCCAAAATTTTGATAGCATTATCTATATTAATTTACATGTCATTTGTTTAAAATTTGATGATATATGACATAAAATTGAATCTATATTTTGTTAAAATATATCAATTTTAATGTTATATATTATATATAATATATATTTCTTGATAAATAATATCAAAATAAATATTATATCATGTTATATAAAAATAATTATTAGATCTATTTTTTTATTAATATAGAATTAATTATTATTTTTAAAGCATAATTAGATTCTGTTATTAAAATATCAAGTCCAATTTCTAAAACTCGAATACATTAAAGTTAACTTGTTATTAGGACGAATTAGTGAATGGAACAGATTATAAAGAAGTCCAGTTTAATTCTAATCAAGATGTGAAAAATATTTATGTAGTTTCTTTCATCAAGTAGTTGGATAACATTATAGGGAAAGGGTGAAAAATAAATAGTTGATAACTTGACGATGTAGCATATATATTTAAAGATCTGGAACGACATTGATGTGTGTGGGTTAAGGTTTCCTTTATCATACAATGAAATAGGTAGAAGAAGGTTGGTTAAATTTAATAAGCGAATTCCTGTTAATACCATTGGACACGCATAACTAACATAATGAAAGGGAAGTCGTTTACTAGGGGCCCCCAGGAAAAAAAAAAAAAGTTATACGTTTTTAATGACCTAATAGGCCTTAAGCCTATTAAGTATTAACTATTATGAGGAATGTTGTTTCGAAAAATACTTTTTCCAAACAACTTTTACCAAGATATAAAAAGTGAGAGAGTGAAAATGACGTAATGGAATAGAAAAAATTAAATATTAAAAAATGTTAGTGAAAATAACATCATTATTCTATAGTACCAATACAATGATAGTGTTAAATGTTAAACTTCGAAGAAGAATTGTGAATATGAGTCCGTGAAATTTCCACTGCTTCAAAATAGGAAGAAAATATAAGCTGCAAATAAATTGAGTTTCTCTCCGTGGTTGTTTGCAAAGAGTGACGAGTTAATTTTCTCTCGGTAGAAAATTTTATTAAATTTACATTTTAAATGCATATATTATTATTATTATTATTATTATTATTATTATTATTAAATGATAAAAATATACATATACGTCATTTTATATGTCTTTGTTTTCTTAATTAAGGGTAAAGTATAAAATGATGAGAAGATCAATCTCTATACGTAAATAACATATTCTTGGATCAAATTCAATAGTATTGTTGGGTTTTGGTTAATCATTAAATGAATAATAGTGTTTGATTTTAAATCTTTTGACATGTTATTAACTCTTATAGTTATAGGAGTGTCATCTCTTAACCACCATTTTATGTACAATTAGAGCAGATAATAGGAGCATCAAGAAAGTTCACTAATTAATAATATTTTTAATTTTTTATATAATAGATGTTATTAAGGCCACTCTTAAGCGAAATTAAGAATATTATTTTTATGAAAAAGTGTTATTAATACATTTTATTGTAATTTTGAATTTTATCCCACTGAATTTTAATGATTTTCTCACTCATTACTTTCTTAATTAATAAGTATGTTTAAAACCCTTGTTTTTTTTAGTATAACTCTATTATAAAATATAATACTAGTAAAATGTCATCTTTGCGTATTGTAAAATCATAAAATCATGTGTATACTTCTTCGAATACAATATTTCTAGTTTAATTTCTATTTTTATTATGAGATGCTTGGTGAATACAATCTAACTGAACTCGTATAATTAATATGAATTAATTCATAATTCTTATTCAGAGTGCACATTCACACCAGTATCGTAGCATTGGATTATGCAGTTGGCATGAAATCATTCGTATATCATTCACCGGTTCAAGAAGAATGAAAAGCACTTATATATATCATTGACTAATAACTACTTACTCGTTGTTATTGTTTGTTTCAACAGAAAGCAGAATTTGAGAGAAGAAAAACCAGTGGAACTGAAGTCAAGTGAAAATGTGTTGAGAATCGTGAAAACAAATCATATATGTTGAAAGAAAGCTAGAGAAAGAGGCCATAAGATGTGAACTTAAGTAGTTGTATAGTTAATTAGCATGATTAATGTAATATATATTATAGTAGTTGGTTTAGAATAGATAGTAAAATGAATGGTGAAGAGAAAGAGGATGGTATATATATGGTTGTGGATGAGAGTGAAGTGAAAGGTGAGAAGAGGGAGGGGCCAGCCATAGATCCGTTTGGATTGCGAAAGGAAAAAGGAGAAAGGTTTCCAAGGAAGTTGGCTTTGTGAGCTTACCTTGTGTCCCTTATGGAGAATCCCTGCCAATGCAAATGACCTACAAATTTGGCGTCCCTACTGGTTCCCAATATCCAAACAATGACACTTTGCTTTCACAATGATTCCAATGCCCCCACCCTCTCATCTTTTGAATAAACAACAATTCAATGCTTCCAAACACGGCTTCCTGACATTTTCATGTTTGGGGTTGGTGGGCACTTGGGCCTTCTTTTGCAATGTCACGGGCCGAGATAGAGACCATTTTTCGCAGACAAGATGTTCAATTAGTGTCTGGTCATTGGTCAAGCCTTCCACCTCTCAGCCCGTATTCAAATCATCATAACCACCCTTTGCTGTCCTATAAACCATATAAAATATCATGCTATTCCACTCGAAGATAATATGAATACCACTAGTATTCGTTACTTTTTAAATGAAATACATTAATTTGAAAAAAAATAAACAATTGTTAATTTAAAAGTTGAAATGGATTGGACCGTCCAGGTCGGGATCCGACCTGACCTCTCTACCTGTGACAGGCCGAGTATGACCTTGGCCGACCTCCTTAAGGGCCACTCGGTCCTTATCCGAAGGACCATCCAGGTCGGGATCCGACCTGACCCCTCTACCTGTGACAGGCCGAGTATGACCTCGGCCGACCTCATTAAGGGCCACTCGGTCCTTACCCGACTTGGCCGTTGACATAGGGGTGGTCGTCCCAATACCGATCGCTTTGATCAGAGGAGGCGCTCTCGGTCATTACGCGACCAGGCCTCCTCAGGATGGTTCT